ATAATTCTTTAGTATATTACTTGTGTGGTGTAGAAGAGAATAGAAGTGAATCATTTATTGCTTGCAAACCAATGATGGTAAGATGATGTCATGGGGTAGGACTGGATAAGTCTGACTTCTTCCTACTCCATTCAAGCATGTACTAGGTATAAGCAAATTGATATTGGATTATGTGTAAAATTATGTGTGTTGTCATATCAACTGTTTCTACATGCTTGAAAGAATAAATCAATCACACAGAAGTAAACGAACCCTGGAGGTGTTCTCTAGGCCTTGTCTCTGTCTGAGGATCTTGAGCCTCTCGAGTCTCTCATAGTAAACAGCTGGTTTCAGCTCTTCACTGTTGGTGCCCAGACTGGAGTCCACATCATGAGGAATCACTGTAGACAGACACACACACCAGCATTACTACACACCCTTGATTTCCCTCTGACCGGACCATGTAAGGGAAGCTTCCAGTGGTACCTGCTGAGGGTTGGATGCGAGCCTTGCCCTCTCTCTCAGACTCTATCATGCGAAGGCCTCGCTCCACGTAGCTTTGGAAGAACTGGGATGTGTTTTTGAGGAAGGGCTCCACGTCTGCATCAGAGTACTTCTGTTTGTACTCGTATAACTCTGTCAGACCCTGAAATGAAGATTGGCACATGATCAAACACCGTTTCCTTGGCTCTTTGTTACACATTGTTTTCTGTCTGTAATAAACTAACAGAGTCCTTTTTAAGTTTTATGCTGTAACAGATGCTACACTAAAAGTGACTGCAGAATGCAGCTGAGCTGACCTCTTTAGTGTTTTCCTTGGAACCAATCTTCTTGAAGATTTCAGACAGAATGTCACTGACCTTTGCCTTTGACATTCGATCCTCCTGGGTAGAAAACAGGACAAACAATTTATTTAGAAACAATCATCCTGAAAACGAGCTACTGAATGTGTACATTCTTGACAAGAGCCTGATGAAATGTTCCCTTAAACATGTTGTTGGATATTTGGTACGTCTTGCTCACCGGGCGCAGACCAGACTTCTCATTGCCTTGGTTGCCTTTGATTCCTGACAGATTTCCAGAGTGTTTCACCACCCGTCTCAAATGGGCCTCCAACTCTGACTCATTACGATTCTCTATCATTGATAAGTGGTCCAGGATCTGTTTTACAATACATGAGTACAATAAACAGAATGGAAATTAAGTAAAAGATATATAGAGTTACCATAACTCTGACCCAGGATCTAAACCATTTAATGAGAACTGAGGTCAATGAGGTCAGAATGCAGTTAAACACATTGTAAGCGCTACCTTGGACCCAGTGAGCTTGCAGAGTGTGTGTAGGAGAGTCTTGAGGGTTCGGTGTGGGACATCACTCTTCAGCTGCTTGAGTTTCTCTTTGGGGAAAACTTTCATGAAGTTATGGACGTCTAATAAGATCCGATCCAAGTTGATGTTGTTGATGGTCTCAGGGAGAAAGCGGATCATCCTCCACAGACACTGAACACACAAAAGGAATGAAGCGTATAAGCCTTTTTAAACGGGCAGCTGGCTCAGACTGTGCTGCAAGCCTCCTTACCTTCATGACTAGTTCAGAGAACATGGGAGGGCCGGCTGTCATGACTAAACTGTCTTGAAGCAAAACCAGCAGAGCGCTACAGTGAGACAGGAAACAGGGAGTTAACTGAGCAGGTGAAACAAAACAAGTTAGTTTCTTCTGGATTTGTTTAATGTCATTCAGCCAGGCCAGTCCTAACAGGTCACAGTGCCCCTGAGCTGTAGTGACTGCTATGAGCTGTACTATATTAAACACCAACTACTGGGCACCTGGGATGCAGCACATACTGTACCTGTCTGGAAGAATGTTATGCTCCTGAGCAAATTAAAACTGAATCTTAATGTGAACAACTTCTGCATCCTAACCTGATCATGTTGGTCTGGTCAGACTTCTCCAGGACTCTGATTACTAGCAGGTTGACAGATCTGATCAGCTGCTGTCCATCTTCTATATCTTCTACCCTGCCATCCAGCATCAGTATTATCAGACCGTGCATCAGGTCCTTCACCACAGCCATAGACGGCTCTCTGGCCAGGGACTCCATAGAGAACAGCTGACAAAAGGCGACAAGAGGAAGTTCACAAAGATGCTGGTTGGGTTTCTAATCAATCTCACCACTGACGTATCACATTAGCCGTGTGTAGGAGAGCAGCAGCAGGAGGTGACTCACAGACAACATGTTTCCTATGATGCAACTATATAGTTTGATGATGTCCTTCTTGTCCAGCCGGTCATCAGCCATGTGTGTGCTGTTGATGAGCCGCAGCTGCATAAAGGTTGCAATGAGGAACTGATCAATGTGTCCTGACATCACTTCTGCTTTGTCCTGCTGCCGCAACACTTCATCGATCTGCATGGTACAAAGCACACACTTTTAATCTCACTTCAACGCAGCTACAAAAGTCAGATATTCCCCTCAGGAGTTGGGAGAGACCAAAGACAGTGCTAAAAGGGAGCAAACACCAAAATAAATATTAATTTTAAAAAAAGGAAACTATCTGAAATTACATGAGCACAAACATTTTTGATAAGAGTTAATTAAATCTGATTATCAAATAATTTGGCTCTAATTGCCAGAAAGAGACAGCAGTGAAGGGAAATGTTGGCTTTAGAACCCCCCTTCACCTATGATGTCACAGATGCTGGCTTCATGTCTTTGTATACTCCACAGACACTAACAATGGCATGCCCACTGTGAACAGATACTGCAGCTACAGTGCTGTGATGTCATTGACAACAGGTTGTGTTCCAGCTAACAGTAACAGCACGAGCTTCATCATTTACAGGTGCCATCCTAACTTTAAACATGCTTCATCAAACCAGTGGTTGAGTGTTTTACCTGTGCCAGTGCCTGTATGCTGGTGTTCATGTCACTGCTAGCCACCTGAGAGATGACAAAGTTGATTGTGGAGGCCGTGCTGTTGTGGAGGTCATCAAAGTGCGGAGAGACAGAGCGTATCCTTTCAATACAAAAACAAACAATATTAAGCTCAGATTTAGCATTTTTAATGCTCGACATTCTGTCTGAAATGCATATGTGCTTCAGTGTCTGTTAAATTTAGTCATTTTCTTGTTTCTGAGTGTGTTTACTTGGGTTCTGGGATCACGATGGGCTCGAGCAGCTCATCCAACTTGTGCTGGACAAGGTCTGGCAAATCACACACTCTGTTTTGGTCCATCTCGATCATGTCCAAGTCCAACTGGAACTCCTTAGGGATTGACGGGTGGGAGGACTCGCTGTGCTGGATGTTCTGACGAGATTGACTGGGTGGGTGGATGGATAGATGGATGGAGAGATCAGAGGATAGATGGTGAAGATGAGGTGAATACAGTGGACAGGACAGTACATTTAGCTCAGTGATAAAAGAAAATGAGCCCTTTGAAATTACAAGTATTTATGCATCTTAACATGTGGCCGGATCACCTACATTTATGAACAAACAATATACCCAACTAATAACACAAATCATTGTATTGTTGTTGTCCATACTGATACACCATTCAAAGATTCACACTGCAGGCTGGAAAACATGAGTGAATTCCTAGGGTAAGGACATCAATAAAAGCTAACTGGAGTTGGGAGTTAGCAAACCCGGACTACAACCAGACTGCTGGTGCTGTTTAGTTAAATTGAGAAAAGGCTGCAAAGGCACAATGCAGAGTGCTCGGTGAGGTAGCAAGCAAGCCTAGAATGTGCAGAAAGAAATTCTTGATAAAATGATATAGTGCTATGTTATGTATTTGCAAAACTTCAAATAATTGTTTAATCTGTTTGACCTTTGTAAAGATTTGACATGTGGACATGGAATGCTTTGAGAGGTGCAGAGAGACTCAGAACAACATACATACTGAGATGACTAAACTGTCTGCACAAGAATAGTGTGTGGGTGTAAGGTCTGATTGTCTTGGCTTCAGATTATCAACATTTATCTACATAGGAAATTCTAGGATTGACATAATCTGCATTAGCAAATATATCTACAAGTTTACTTTACCTAAATCTGCAGACAACAACTAACTGTTTATAAGGACGTATGTAGGAGTGTAATGTCTAGGTCAAAAGGTCAGGATGTTGTACTTAGTGTCACAGATCAAAATCTGCCTGGCGACAAGATCACCAAATGAGGGGTCAGAACGAGGTCAAGAAACGAGGATGAAGGACAACACGGATGATGTCAGATCATTTGCATGACTCTTATTATAAATTCTCTATGTAGAGGAAACTCGTGGTTCCGGCTTCCTGCAGCAGCTATGCGCTATATTTCTCTGTGATAGGGCTTCAGAAAAAGACGGAATCCAGAGCTCTGTATTGCTTTTCTTGAATATTTTTTCTTAAATATTGATTGTAATAAATATCTCAAAAGACAGATTTGTCTTTGAGCATTCTTCATAAAAGGACACGCAGGACTGGTTGAGTCCAACAATTGCTAAAGGTGTAAAGGAATCACTGAAGTGGTTAGCGTCTCCGTTCGTGACTCTAGCACACACAAATCATGGTGTGTGGTGTCCATGGACACCATGGAGGAAATGGCTGCCAAACAGCAACTTGACCCTCCAGAACATTAATGGGAAAATGATGAAAGTAAAGCTCCACTGCCAGGGAAAGTGCCATGCATAGCATAAAGAAGGGCACTTTGTACCAACATGAAAGCATCCTAACAGTGAAGTAGGGCAAGGGAGCATCGAGATTTGAGGCTGCTTTGCTGCCTCTGGGCATGGACAGTTTGCAGTCACTGAGGAGAAAATGAATCGCCACATTTATCAAGGAATCTCCCAGGATAATGTCAGGGTGGCTTGTCCACCAGCGGAGCCTAGTAGAAGCTGGTGATGCAGCAGGACTCTGGACCCTAAACCTTGAACTAGATCTACGACAGAATGCGTTCAAAGAAAATCCAGCTTTTGCCGGGGCCCAATCAAAGCCCAGACCTTAACCCAATAGAGATGCTGTGGAATTAGCTCAAGACATTCAGTGGGTGTGTTGAGAAGACATGACATGATTAAATGACATTATTAGCCTAAGCGGTAAGGATGAATTTTTTTTTTTTACCTAGGCCACTTTTACCTAAGCCACTTTAAGTGACATCAAAATAACATTTGCAAGTTAAGGATGTGGGTTGGGTAGCCAGCTGCTGTCTGGCTTCACTGTGACCCGTGCTCTGCTTCTCAGAGGTTCTAGACAGGGTTCATCCTGCCACAGACAGGCTAAGGTGCAGCACAGCACAGCAGCAAGTGTTTTTGCAGAACACCTTAGGCCGAATTATCATAAAAAGCCCTTTTGTGAGAATAAAAGTACATTAAAAACAATCAGGAGAAGTCTATGCGCCGACAAAAAAAAGACTTGTATGTACAAGTGTTGCCAGTTAATGTCTGAAAAACAGAAAAAACTAAAACAACTCAATTTCCTAGGAATAATTTTAAACTCCCCAAACAAGCCATACTAAAAATAAATAAAATTTTCCCAGAAGTAACTTCTGTGGTTTTTGGTTGATATTATTATGCTGTACAAATGGTCATCTTTCTGCTAAGTTTGTTTTTAAGAAGTTATTTAATGACTTAAAAGAGGTGTATTTTGGTTGATTTGACAGCTTTAATTAGCAGTCCAAAGTGGTCACTCAACTTCTGGTTGCTGTTGTGCATAACCTGGTGGCAAAAAAGCAAGACGGCAGCTGCCGCATTCATGACATTTTAGCTTCACTTTTGCATAGTGGAGGGAAGTGGTGACGATGCGTCCTTCGTTTAAGTTGGCAAAATGCATGACTAATACCTATTCACAGCAATATACATGGACTTGGAAAATATCAAAGATGGCCCGTTAGCACATCAGGAAAATTACTGGTAGGTGTAGATTAAAGGGTGTAAAGTTTCTCTGCAGGGGAGACAACTAAGACCCTAATTCCCAACAACCCTCCAGGAAGAGTCTGTCCAATCAGAATCCACCCCCCCCATAGTTATTTCAACAGTTTTGGTTTATAAGTGCTGTTAGTGATCATTCCTTACAAGAGCAATATTAAATTTTATAAATTAAAGGAAAGAAAAACCTTTGTGCCACATTTGACTGGTTACTGATACATACCCTAAATGTTCCACAAAACATTGGAATTAGAACCAAAAACTGGCATCAATAAGCAGAATCTGAATCGATTGAACCAATACCTAACTCTAATTTTAAGTGACAACAGGACATTTTGAACATTAGTCTGGTGTTTTACCAAACAACACGACAGCGGGGAACAGGATTAGACCCTTATCCCTACCATGTGAAGAAGCACCACTATAACCCTGTCACAGGAAGCCTTTCTGATCATTAGTCTAATGAATGATGAGTATGATATTACATTCAGAAAGGTGGTCTTACAGTTACAGCACAAGAAAGAGGGAAGAGGTACTCACATCCTATATGTGCGATACATTATTCTGCTCCGGAAAGGAAGGCAAGCAGAGCAGAGAAAGGAGGAAATTAATACAGGAAGAAAGATGAAGGGTTAAGAAACAGGCAGAAGACATACAGCTGGCCCATCAAGTCAGAGATGCATGCAGACTGAGGCAGGTTTCAGAGCTAGTGGACAGGATCTTATGCTCTGCTTTTCCTTTAAAAATGAAATAGGATATCCGAGAATGACTCAACATGCAGCAACTCAGTGAAACAGGGCAAGAAGATGAGGAGGTGTTAGGTGCTCCCGTCCACATGTCGAAGTGTCCTTGGGCAAGACACTAACCCCCCCCCCCTTGCCCAAGATGGTTAGAGCCATTGGTTGAGTTGGCGCTGCAGATGGCTGCCTCAGTTCTGTACCGGAAACACATTCCTTGTGTGTAACATACTTGGCCAATAAAGCCGATTATCCTTATTTAAAAGATTGATGGCACAGACCTAATAACCCTTTAACAAGGCTGTTATGGATCCAAGATTTAAGAGGTGAATGGTTGGCAGAATGGATAACATTAGGGATGCAATGATTCCACTCTTTACTGTACTTACATTTGAGTACTTGCTGATACGACTGCTTAAAGCAATGTTTCTACTAGGGCTGGGCAATTATTTTCAAGTAATTGATTAGTTGTTAAATTTAGAAATATTGAATATTTCATTCGACTGTGGTTTTGTCTTTAAAGACAAAGAGCCAGTTTTTCTTACTTTTACCGGCACACAGAAATAAGATAACGGGGTCAGTATTTCATTTTACTACAGCACCAAATACACAGCAGAAACATGCAGAAACTACAGCCACAAAAAAAGGTAATGGCACAGTGGGATAAACTGTATGATAATGCATGCGAGCTGTGCAGTCTGACAAGCGCTGATGATCTTTGTCAAATAGCTCCCAGAAAATATCGAACAGCATTTTAGCTTGACGTGCCCATCCCTAGTTTCTACTACAAAAATTAGTTAACATTAAAAAAAAATTTATTAAAATATATTTTAATGAGATTTACCTTCTGATTGTGATTAAATGATAACAGAAGGCTGTGCAAATGTGAAAATGTTGCCACCATTCTTATTGAATAATGTGTAAGTGACTGAAGGTCTGTACCCTACCACATAACACACTGTAATACACTGGTTTTAGCCTTTGTAGGAGCGCAAACCTCTGTAAGGATGAAATTATTTCACAACCGTTGCAATGACAAGTTTGGGAGTGCATATTTAACAAGGGTAGCCTATATGTACTCTAAACTGGCTAATATGTCTT